CCCCCCCTCTCTCATTGTCAGCGAGATTTAAATTGATTTGCTGGTTTCACGTTTGACTTGCAAATCTTTCTCTTCATCAAGGTATTTTGTTGAGATTATAGGGATTATGTTTCCAGCATAACATTATCTGCTACAACAAACGGGAACGTGTAAATGTTGTAAATTTCAGTTAATTAGCAGAATTCAAAGATCAATATTAGCAAAAAAATATAATATTGTGTATTAGGGGCATTTTCAGACATGCTTTAAGTGGTAAACTTTCTACCAAATTACACTGAATGGCCAACTGATGTTAAGTTCACCATCGTGATTAGAATTTCTTGCACACACAGTACGAGGGAGAGCAGAGCAGGCCAGCAAGAACAGCAGTACTATCTCTCATACTAAGCTGAAATGACACGAGAGCACATTTAAATGACATAAATAAACTCTGGATTGCATCTCAGAGCCCTCACACTGCAGCATTCTCTGCTGAGGATCACATTTCTATATCAAGTAGCTGTACATTGCTACAGACAGGTAACAAATTAAAGGTAAGGTGCTGGGCTAGAGCAGCTTCAGTGCACCTGGCAATGCTTCTGCAACTCTCAGAATCCTTACTACAACACTATTCTTCTCTCATTTGGTGTTTTTAGTGTTTGGTGAACAGTACACTGGGCCACAATCTTCTACAGGTGTTCAGTTGGGGATAGCATATGTTTCAGCCCCTACTGCCTTGTGGAACATTGTCAATTCAATCACTGATTCTGAGGGAGAATTCCCTTTACAAACTCAAACAGCACCAGGAAAACAAACCCCCAGTAGCATAACACTGCCACCAGTTAATATTACTGGAGAGGTCAAGAGTTCAGGTTTGTGCTACCACCTGCCTCTTCATCAGTGTCCTAAACTTCTTCACCTAAGGAAAATGTTATGACTGGAACAATTTCAATATTTTATAGGATTTTCACTGAATAATTCAAAATTTGAGTGTTATTAGAGGATATCACATGAACATTTTACTTTTTTGGGGTTTTTTTTTCTCTGTTGTTATGATGCAAATAAAGTTACTTCATGGGATTCTACACTTGATAAAGGGTTATGGGTGAATAGGAAGTTAAGCATAAGTGAAAATACCATTTACCATTAACTTTACCAACTAGCAGCAGGCAACACTGATACTAACCTTGACAAGTTGCACGTATTTATAAGAAAATCTTGATGAATATTGAACATTAGGATGTTATCTAGCTCTTTTAGCAGCTTAAGTTAAGCTCATCATCATAAGCTGGTATATACATGTGTCTGGTTAAGCAAAAAACATGCCCAGTTATGTCAAAGTCCATAGTTTTTATCACATCGTTTTAATAGTGGTTAAAAGCACAAGTTGCCTGCTATGAATTTTTGGGGGGAAAGGACGCTGAATGTCACTCTTTTACGGTAACATTTCCCAAGTTGTAAAGCAAAAGGGAGACTGAACTTGTTTTTTTCAAACACATCACTCTAATGCAAACCATATTAACAACTGTGCAACTCTCTTTTCCAGCTTCAGCTCCACATTTTCTCATATGTCTTTTTATAATATTTTGTGATCAGGTTGACATTTGTTAGCCACTGTCAAATCTAATCTTCAACTTATAAACATGCCTCTAGATACACAGGAGGTGGATGATCCATCCCCATGTTTTCCTGCAGTTTATGCCTTGTGACATTGCTCGTCTCCTCTACCCCTCCCCCAATCAGCTCCACTGATCTGCTCCTTCAGTCTCCCGCTTCACTGCTTACTGATCCACTATGCAGCGTCCTGTCCCCTTTTATGATGCTCTCACCTTTCCCTGGCTTGAAAATAGTCACTCTGTCATTAGCCTGTTAATGTTGCAACGTGTCACTTAGCTGGCATTAGAGAAAGGCTCCAAATACGTGTGTGCAGCTCTTGAATTATCAAGAAAACACCTAGCAAAGTAACAAGTGCCAAAGATTTTATGAAGCTCCTTTGCATAACACAAGGAAAAACCAACATATATACAGTATGTAATGTGAGTTGATAACTTTCTACTTAAACATTGTGTCTTTGAAATGTCGCTTAGGCTCACTGAACATAACCGGGGAAAAGAAGATGTTCATATATTGACAATGCCAATTAGATAATGTTGCTATAAACACATTAGCACAACCGCTCTGATTTTGGTGAATCTATAGTAAAGTTTCAAAGAGACGTTTTGTATTTCCTCCTAGAATTTCACTTAGTCATAATTTTCCCGATTTAGCAGAACAGTGAGAACTCAGTGTCATGGCAAAAACCGTAAATTATGACAATGAGTAGCTCTTCACAATCAGTGTAACAGATTAAGCTAAGCAAATTTACAGTGTCTGTTACAAGTACTTTTGAGCTGAACTCTTTTAGCGGTTATGCATTATTGCC